TCAAGTGCTATATCTCAGTGATTTAGCTTGGTGAACTTTTTTCTTCATCTTTCTTCCCCCTCTGATATTTTTCATTTTTCCTAGTAAAATGTCAAACACCGCTTCAAGAAACTCGCATACCCTGTGAGTAGAACAGTGATCCAGACACAATACTATTTAGAAGTAACTCATTCAAATCTACATCAATAGAAGTGGTTTTGTCACATTGCTTTCTTATATTCTGTTCAGCTACTAATCACACATAGTCTGCTTGCAAGCTCTGATCTATAGGCAGATATATTCCTGTAAATTGATCAATTTGCTATCTTACATCCTTGACGTAGTTGTTACTGAATGGGTTGCTAGCATCTAAATTTAGAACTTTTGGGGGGTATGATATGTTGTGGAGAAAGCTGCTTATAAAAGCATAAGAGTAGAGGAATTTAAATTACTATATGCATTTAGAAAACTAACTACAAGTTGTCATAGTTTTTTTTTTGGAACTTGGTAACTTGTCATAGTTTTTTTTTTTTTTTTTTTTTTTTTTTTTTTTTTTGATAACCGAGAAATCCGTCTGTGATTCGCCCTTTGGACCAATCACAGCCTTCTAAACTTGGCATATCCTGTTTTATAGCACAACTTATCCTGTTTTTAGCTCCCTAGTCCCTATTTCTTTCTTTTTCTTATTTTAACTTGGCATATCCTTCACAGAGAAACTTCTAGTGTTACTGCGAGATGGGCGGAAGCTTTTGGGGACGCTTCGTTCTTTTGACCAATTTGGTAGGGTTCTCTTGTCATGACTTCAGCTTAACAACAATAAATAACCAGCTAAAGGAAATGTTATCTTCCATTTGTAGCTAATGCTGTTCTAGAAGGTGCGTGTGAGCGTGTTATTGTTGGTGAAATCTACTGTGATATTCCATTAGGTCTTTATATTATACGAGGGGAAAATGTCGTGTTAATTGGCGAGTTGGTATGCATTGCTCTTTCTCTCCTCAATATTTTCTTTTAAATGAGTTTTTTTTTTCCTACTTAGTATACCTGCACTTTTTTGCTCATAGATTTTGTTCTGATTGATAAGGATGTAGATAAGGAGGAACTTCCACCCCACATGACTCGTGTCCCAGAAGCTGAGATAAGAAGGGTATGAACCCATTGCTCTTTATCTGACTAATATAGATATGTAATTAGGTTCATGTTGGAACATGAGAATGCCATGGGTCCATCATTTGTTTGCAACTAGGTTTAAATTTTTGTTGACATGTTAACTCCTAATCTGAGTTTCACTCTTAGAGTATATTTGAATATACCCTACTGTAAAGTAGAAGTGTCAACTTTCCAGCAACTCCAACTCACATACATATGCCTCTCTCAGATTCTGAGGCATTACCCATCTTTTCCCAAAAATACTGAAATACAAGCTCCAATGGCCAAAAGCTACTACTTCTATAGAATATAGTTAAAGCTTGAATTCCATAATGAAATGTTATTCTTGAAACTCATGAATATACTAGGGCCTCATTTGTTTCATTTAAAGATTAAGGCGACCTTTATTAAAAAAAAGATTAAGATATCTAAACCTAATTGCTCATCTGAATATTAATATGTGCATTCAGATTTAGATAGTGAATTTGAATGTACATGCGAGTATAATATGTTGTATTAACAGTTATATGACAATTGGTAGTGGTGATGACTAGCGGTGGTGGTTGTGGCTGTCGATTGAGATAGTGTTGGGTGATGGTGGTGGTAATGGGTAGTAGCTAGTGGTGATGGTGATTGTCAGATAGATTAATAGAGGTAGTTGATGGTGGCAATAATAATTGTGGTGACCGATAGTGAGCTAATGATGGTTGTGAATAATGAGTAATGACAGTGATTGACGATATACGTTGATGGCTGATGGTGGTAAGTGACTGTTGATTAGTGGTGATGATTGTAAATAATGGCTTAGGTGGTGAGTGGTGACAACTGGCTGTAGTGATTGGGCTACAGTTATGATGTTATAAATCTTAATAATTCAGATCTATTAAAACTCATATAACAGTTGTAAAATTTAAAAACAGACAGTTAAGGATTAAGATATGAGTAGTTAAGATTTAGACCTAAAAAACAAACAAACTTGATGATTGAGATCTGAATGGTCAACATTAAGATAATTAAGTGCAAACAAATGAGTCTTATTATTTGAAATCATACATTAGTGTTGTATATTAATGTTTGTTCTATTTCCTTTTATTTTATATCTGATTTTAAGTGAATTATCGAGATATCATCTGCGTTTTAACTTCTGTTTGATTCTGTCTAATTGTGGATATCAGGCCCAAAAAGCAGAAAGGGAGGCTACAGATCTTAAAGGTACAATGAGAAAGAGGATGGAATTCCTTGATATGGATTGAAGTTCCTTGATCATATCAGGTTCAGCTTGGATTCATGCCATGCCTCTGCAAATATTATCGCGGTTGCTTGGTGGTGGCAAAAAGTAACTACGACCTGGTTTCTCTTTCCTCACTGGCTGTACCCTGTATCTGTAAGTGTTCATTGTAACATCTACAGTACATGATTGTTGCTGGGTAGGGAATAGAGTTGTTATTATCTTCTTATGTTTCCTCTGTTAAATGTTTCGAGTATGGTTGGTCCGCTCATCTTCCTGGTAGTACAGGTACTTGACCTGTTGATGGTATGGAGAACGCTAGACTACAAACGTTGGTAAAACTGATCTAAGGTTCTTCCACTTTTAACTTATTTTAGTATGGAAGAGTGTAACTTCTATGGTTAATTGTATAGACTGAAATCAGGATTCTGAATTTTATCCCGTTAAAAAGACAGTTCACTTTGTTTATATTTTGTGTGTCAATTGTTAATGCGCTCCTTCGGAACTAGGGGCAAGGCTACACACTATCCTCCCAAACCCCACCCGTAGGATTAGTAGTTGTAGTTGTAATTGGTGATGTGATCTTTTGAGAACTATTTTACCTATATAAGCTTTGGTAAGTCTGATATAATATCACATTTATCGAAATTGTTTTTTCTAGGAAAACAAGTTCTTTAAAAATGAGAAAAATTACTTTTCGAGTGTAAGTTGGAAAAATAAGTTTCACAAGTGGCATTCTAACATTGATTCCTCTGT